GACTGAGTGAGAGATACATAAATTAGCATGCCTCTTATAGTCTGTCTGGATTAACATTAGCTTACATTTCTTGTTTTGTCAGTCTGATAAGTGATAAGTGTTGCTGTGTTTTTTGCCCTTAAGCAAAGAAGCCCCGAGGGAACTGAACCTCTTATTCAGGCAAAGTCTAGACCTTCACTGCTCATTGATCCACATTGTTTCAATGAGTGTCTGTATGTGTGTGTATGTGTGTGTGTGCTGTCATTACTGCCAATGCTAATTGCTAGCAAAGACAATAATGAAGCAGTTTCAGTTTGTGTGTGTACATGTGCACACTCTATCATTTTGCTGTCGTTAGCACTGCTGCTAATTGCTAGTACGCAGAGTAATTAAGCACTTTGTGTGTGTGTGTGCGCATGTGTGTGCGTGTGTGTGCATCATCAGTCACTGTCCTGTTTTTAGCACTCCTGCTAATTGCTAACAGACTGTGTTATGGAGTGCTCCCTCAGGACTGTTAAACAACTTCAAACTTCGATACATTCAACACACACTGCTCACACTGACTGTGTTTGTGGTTTGTGTGTGTGTGTGTGTGTGTGTGTGTGTGTGGGGGGGGGGGGGTGCTGCTTATCTGAGGATTAATGAAGGTAGCAGGTGAGGTATGTGCACTCGCCAGAATGTGCAACAGAGAATCACTTACTAATGTGTGTGTGTGTGTGTTAGTACATATTTTCATGGATTCATTCATCTTGATAATTTTGTGGACATATCTTTAAATTGTGTCAACCATCTCACAGTAATTCTACTTTTGGGTCTGTGAAGCTGTAACCTTAGATGGGTGAAGCACCTAAGTAGTAACAGATCTATAAATGGATAGGAGCCAACTATATGTTGTCAGCAACTGTTTGCTAGACAGAGAGTCTACATCTGATACGTATACAAATCAGTGTCATGTCATCTTTATTGTTTTATAGTGATGTACCCAAATGGAAAGGAATTTGTGGGCTGTACCTTCTAGCAGAATATAAGCAACACTGTGTGATGAAGACTTTGCCATTTTGCCATTTTGCCCATGATTGTCAATGATTGTGAGATCTTGGTCAGCATGGGTCAGCGATGGTCTGCACTTTGTGAGCCATGTGTTGTGTTTCTGTGTTGTCTGACCATGGCTGAATAAATCTAAGATGATCCACAGTCTGTTTCACGATTTCATCATTGTCCATCTACTACAGAAATAACCCCCACCTAACAGTACCTGTCTGTGTGTGTTGTCCTAACAGTTATTTTGTCAACCAAAAGGTGAGCGAGAAATGTGACATCGAAGGGGCTTTGGGTTCTGTTCAAACCAATAAACAAATATTACAAAAAGAAAAATGGCCACTGATCTCTCTGAAGTGAAACAAAGTTGTGAAACAAAGTAGAACTGACAAACCAAATCAAAGAAGTGCGCAGCACATTGTGTACAAAAAAATTATCCTTAGTGTAAGGCTGGAGATATGCTTGCAGCCATCTGTGTCATGAGTGTAATTTTTGAAAATACTTAACGATATGAGACGCATGTAGCTAGACAATGCCACAAGAGGGCACACCGGGGAGCTCAACAACCTGGTGTGTGGGATGTAAACTACAAACAGACGCTTGAGAAAGTTACTAGAATTTTAAAGGTAGAGTCAGAAGCTCTTTCCTACAAAATAAAATACAGACTTCAATCGTCCCTTCTGGGCCTCCATACATGTGTGGTGGTGACTGTGTCTGCAGAGACTCTGTCCTCTGACTGGATTTTCTGATCTGGTTTGTTCTGGTTGACTCGGGACGTTTCTGTAACCTGTCAACTAATTGCTTTTGTCTCTCCCTTGGGTGTGTATGGTTGGGGGTGATTGAGGACGGTGCAAATAAGAAGGCAGAAACTGCCCGGCTCTCATCCCTCTCTCTCTCCTGGACTCCTGAGAGTCACAGAAGAAAATCTATTCAGTATCAATGTTGTCTGAGTAACCTGGTAGAGTGTTTATCCCTTTATTGCGGCTTTTGTTCATTGTTTTAAGGGATCCTGTGGTTTTGGTGGTAGAGGGTGAGTGCCCGGTCCGACGGCCCTGTGTGGGCTGGCTTGGGTGGCTGACCTTTCTTTTTTGTTTTGTTTTGTACCCCAGGTTTTCAGCTTATAGTTTTGTTGTTTCTTTGTTTGATTATAAAAATAACCCTTTTCTTTGAGATGATTTAATCTCTGATTGATTTATGTTCGACTCCCCAGTAAAAACAAGTCATTAATTTAGGGGTCGTAACAAATGCTGCAAAGAAAAATTCTATTGACTCTAACTTAAATTCTGAGCTCAGAACAAATAAAATATTAACTTCAATAATCAGTAGTAACATCAGATCATGTTGACGTCTGCAGTGTTAACATGCGAGCAGAGCTTAAGATGAAGAAAATCAACAGATAGCTTTGGTCCCTGCCTCCACAGCAATTTCCATATTTGTAAGAAATGTCAACAATAACTTTGATGTCAGCCGGCGCTTACTAGTTTTCTTTCTCTGATTATAAAAGCCCTTAATAATAATATAATAATAATTCTTTGCAAACCCATAATCATTTAAATCAGTGTTTCACATCCAAAGAAGAAACCTCTAACCAGCAATCAGCACTTTTGTTCTCAGTGAATGGTGAGTCGCCGTATCAAACATCAGCCTGGTAAGAACAAACGTAAGAACACTGCAGTGAAGAGAGAGATGGTCACAATTGACAAAAACGGGACGAGGATTTTAGAAAACCAGGGAACATATAAGTTCAAAACTAGGATCTCTGTTCAGCCTGACGCATGCTTGCAGTGGGCTCCATTGAAAGTAGACGGACTGCAGTGTGTGCTGTGGAAACACAAGCATTGACCAGAGAGGGCGGGGCAATCATCTCCAGAAAGCGCTGCGCTGATGGATCCTGTTGAAGCTGCCAGTCACACAGTGGTTTGTCCTGACCCCTCATTCTGTGGCGTTACCTTTTAGTGTCTCTTTTCTCTTTTGATGAAATTAATCATCAGTGCGTTTTATCAAGACACTCGTATAACACAACTCGCTTTTTGAAATGCAACAAATGCACTTCAGTCAGTTCACTCTCACGGTTGGCAAATATACCTGGGCAGCCTGCACAAGTATCGTCCATGTGTGGGCAACAAATTTTAAAAAATGTCACAAATCCAAAAATGAATGCAAAAGTCCCAAGAAATGCAACGACGGAAAGCCACACAAAATGCATTAACTTTAAGTTCACTACAATGCAGAGTAAAAAAACACCAATCCTGGAAACACACGTAAAAGAAAACAAACTGCACATCCCATGATCAGCAGATCTGTGCAGTGAAAGAATGACAGGAGTGAGGTGAAGACATCTTTGTGGTCCATGCATCGTTGACTGCTGTGAGAAAAAAAAAAAACAGCGGAGGTGTTTGTGTAAAACGTATGTAAGATCCAGTTTTGTGGTTCTATTTCAGATTTAAATCCCATCTCTCTTAGTATGAGTGTTGTATTTACTTACCTTCCTGCTGAGACGAGAGTGAAAAAGTGAAGACAATAAATGGCGTGTGTGTGTGTGTGTGTGTGTGTGTGTGTGTGTGTGTGTGTGTGTGTGTGTGTTGTGTGTGTGTGTGTGTTGTGAGTGAGTGAGTGAGTGAGTGAGTGAGTGAGTGAGTGAGTGAGTGAGTGAGTCCCTGAATGTAAAGAATGAAAAACAGTCAAAGCAAACCGTAATCGATCAAACAGACACAAATAAATGAGAAGAAGTGAGACGAATTAAGAATAGAATTAAAATAGTGAGAGGAAGAGGGTGTGTGTGTTTGTGTGTGTTTGTGTGTGTGTGTGTGTGTGTGTGTGTGTGTGTGTGTGTCTCCCTCAGAGATCTCAAGACAATGACTGGTGAGTAAATGTGTTTAGCTCCTCTGGTCCGACTGCAGTGTCAGCTCAATATCAATCATCTGCTCTCTCTCACATCCACACACACACACAGACACACTCACTTCATCATTTACAAACAAGCCCACATCGTCTTCCTCTTTTAATTCTTCCCTTTATTTGTCATTTATTTAAATCTCTTTGATCGATGAAAGTGAATCAGATCGAGTACAGAAGCACATCAATATTCAAGCACGTCTCTTGGTGTCTTTCATCCCAATCATTCAAACACAATCACACACACACAAATACATACACCTTAACACACACACATTTGTATTTAGTTACATGTCTTGACCAGAACCAAACCTCTTTTGTTTGGGACTCGATCCCTTAGTGAACTGAATTCATACCTCAAAATCATCACAGTCAAATATTTAGGCGACTGCATATTATGAGACATACAAAGAAAAAAAACTAAAGAGATCTTTGTCTGCTAGATTACCACATGTTACCTTTAATTTAGGAATAAACTTCAGTTTGATCAATACATACGTCCTTAGTTTTGGCTGAGACAGAACATTTTTAAATCATTTGTCTTCATACTTGATCCAGAGCTTATCTTTCTTTTCCTTTTTTTAAGATTTATTTTTGGGCATTTTGTGTTTTTAATAGAGAGATGAGACAGTGGATAGAGTCAGAAATCAGGGAGAGAGAGAGTAGGGAATGACATGCGGGAAAGGAGCCACAGGTCGGATTTGATCCAGGGCCGCCCGCTTGGAGGACTATTAGCCGCCATGCATGGGGCGCGCACACCAACCACCGCGCTACAGCACAGATTGTTCCTGTAAAATATACGTCATATCCACCTCCTCAAAAATTAAATAAAGCTAACTTCCTCATGTAGAGTTATGTTTTTTCGCTCTTCAAAAATACTTTCTTTCTGCTATAGACCAGCCCATGTTACCCTGAATTGCTAGAGCTTGTTAAATTCTAAACAACCCCTTCTCTCCTAGTCCCCTTACACTCATGATTGTCAGGTGTTGAGTCACCAGACGGCTCGGTCAGGTGTTATGCAGCTTCTCGTCACAGCTGAATCACTTCTTTTGCTTCGTGTGGAGCGGTGCGAGTGCCAGGTCGCATCAATGCACAGTCTTGAGAAGTCCCAGCTCTTTATTGTGAACAAGCTTTCTTTGTCTTAACACCTGGATGTTTGTAACAGGGTCACCCAGACCACAAGCCGAAACGTGTTGGTCTAACCAAGTTAATTAAGTTGCTGCGGGAGCTTTTTCACCTCTTCAAGCCTTTCACTCTCACCTTGGAAGTCGATGGAGTTGTGCCAGAAAACCTGACTCTGCTTATTGTGTTTCAGAGTTTAGATTCCTGTTTTATTTTGTTTCTTTCTTCTTTTTTTGATTTAAAAAAATATTTTGGGGCTTTTTGTAATGGAGAGATAGGACAGTGGATAGAGTTGGAAATCAGGGAGAGGGAGTTGGGAATGACATGCGGAAAAGGAGTCACAGGCTGGATTTGAACCCCGGGAGTACTACAGCCTCCATGCATGTGGCACGCACACTAACACTGCACCACCAGCGCCCCAGTTTCTTTCTTCTGTCATGATGCTTGTTTTCCTTATGTGGATTTTGTATTGCTTTACGTCCTAGTTTAGTCTTGAGTGTTTCCTGTTTTATTTTGTAATTTCTTATACTTGTGTTTCTCGGTGTGCTGTGAGTTCTGTGTCTTAAGTGTTCCTGTTTTATTTTGTAATTCTTTTCCCCAGTGTGTCTTGTCTGACTTCCTCCCTTTGATCGCCCCTATTATCTTTACCCGTTTCTGATTTACTCAGTGTTTATAATCTTTGTATTCCTTGTCTTTTGTGTCAGTTCATACTTCTACCAACCCGTGTTGATAAGTTGTACTTCCTAGTGTTCCTAGTGTTTCCTCGTGGCGCTTGATTTCTCCATGTTGATTTTTTTTATCAAAATGAAAGCCTATAGTCAACATGTAGGCAGTTATTTTTTTAAACTGAGGTTTTCCTCCTCTGGTTAAAAAAGTTCTCTAAAACATCTTCATCCACATGAAAATGCAAAAACGCATTGTTACGGCTGAGATGATGAACACCAATGTCCTTGACATGTAAAAATGATCTCGCCATTCCTCTTCAACTACCATTTCATTCATTTTCAAAGCCGTCCAATCTCCGCTCGTCAACAAAGTGGGAGAGTAACTGTGTTTGTATGTGTGGGCAAGCAAAGAGTCGAGTTAGCAACGTTAGCATCAGCGCTAGTTTGGCTACGTCTGCCATTGCACTAATCTCATGTAAACTAAAGTGACAGCGTCACACGATGACGTCACACGGAGGAGAAACCGGTGCACAGCGTGACGAAAACTCTGTTTTCCCCATCTACACAGAAACACCTTAAACTGAGTTTCTGAACATATTCACCCTGGAAGGAGAGTAGGGAATGACATGCGGGAAAGGAGCCACAGGTCGGATTTGATCCAGGGCCGCCTACTTGGAGGACTATTAGCCTCCATGCATGGGGCGCGCGCTCTAACCACTGTGCTACAGCACATGTTTTTGTCAGCCTTTTAGTTTTGTTATCTGCACCAGGGTCCTCCTCTTTGTTTTTGACGAACTGTGACACTGAGAAATTAATATAAACATTTTTTATGCATTTTTTAAAGTCTAACAAATAGCCTACTGCATATTTTTTTGTGTTCTTAACCAGTTGAAATGTTCCTGATATAAATCACTTAAAAGAGAATATTTATGTGGGTTATGTTTACTCAAACACAAACCTATAAACAGATTTTTGGAGCAGTCTCTCCATTTCCAGCTGTGGATTTTTACAATGGTTAAAGCTTTATATTTACCCTTTAAACAAGTGATGATCAGAAAAAAATGATGTCACCTTCAAGAACTACATCTCAAATTAATCCACATGAAGATGGAACAGCATCAACTAAACACACACACAGTCGGGATAGACCATCCATCATCCTTGTTTGGCTGAGGTTCCCTAACTGTTGCTTCATGAGGGATAATTCAGCCTGTTAACTCTCCACTGAGGACGAACACAAACACCTGCTGTCACTGTCAGTCCCTGCATGTTTGTGTGATTCCCCATCATCCTGTTCCTGTTTTTTGTCCAGAGTTTTGTGCATATTTGTCAAAGTATTCATGTTTAGACAAAGGGGGAGTAAATAATGAGTTTAATCTCCAGCTGTTCTGTGGTCTTACTCAGCAGCTCCCACTGCAAATATAAATAAAACTGCAGGAGCCTGAAGCAGAAGTGAGCCGACAAAGAGAAAAAACATGACGAGTGCTATGTTCCCTCAGCTTTAAAAATTATACACATCGAGATTTGCCTGAAGCCATCATATGAGACTACTTAAAGCTAACAGAGCAAATAATTTACATTCACATTTTGCACAACCTAAAAGATGACATGTTTGACCCCTTAAAAATCTGGACACATTAACTAAACTGATCACAAGCAGGACTTTGGATCTAACACGGTTTGCTTTTATATTTGACTCCCAATATGCAAATGAAACACAGCAACACACTTGTTGTTTAATCATGAAAAACTGTTATTCATTCATAAAGTCACCCAACAATTATCTGCTACAAAAGAAGAGATTATTTATGTTTCAGATTTGGAAATGAAATTAATTTATAGAGCACATCCAAAAACAACTCACGTTGACCAAATTGCTGTAAAATCAATAAAGAAAAATCCCCAAATCCCCAAATCCCCCCCAAAAAAGGTTAAAAGAAAACCATGAACCATGAAAACTGACTAGTAACCCATGGCTGCTACGACCAGCGTAATAACTGTGCGACTTCGTTATGGCGCTGTTGCAGAATTTAACTGTGCACTAAGAAAAGGGCTAATATAATGTGAGGTGAATATAGTGCCGTGTTACAGCGGGGGTGGGGTAGAAACAACTCACGTTGACCAAATTGCTGTAAACAACTCACGTTGACCAAATTGCTGTAAAATCAATAAAGAAAAATCCCAAATCCCCAAATCCCCCCCAAAAAAGGTTAAAAGAAAACCATGAACCATGAAAACTGACTAGTAACCCATGGCTGCTACGACCAGCGTAATAACTGTGCGACTTCGTTATGGCGCTGTTGCAGAATTTAACTGTGCACTAAGAAAAGGGCTAATATAATGTGAGGTGAATATAGTGCCGTGTTACAGCGGGGGTGGGGGTAGGTATGGGGCATTATTAATTAGGCTGACTGGGAATTAGGATTTTTTTAATACGTATATTTTGCAATAATGTAACTCTAATCAATCAAAGAATGCAAATAAATTAGAAAGAAATAGTTGAATTATGAGGGGGATGTGGGCTTGTTTGTAAATGATATATGTGTGTGTGAGTATTCTTGTTTTGCTATCTTTATAAGGACCAATAACAGTTTCCAACACTCAGAGTGAGGACATGTCTTTACTGTGAGAACATTAAGCCTGTCCTCACAATTTAATGCACAATTTTAAGGTTAAGACTAGATGTTATATTTATTTTTGTTTGGTTTGAGACCTTTATTTTAACTTTGTATGCAATGGTTCCCAAATCCTACCATATCATTCAACTGATAGTCCTGGTTAGCACAGAAAAACAGACATTTGTGTATAAACTGTTATGAAACGGCCATGCGGTTGTCTTGGATGTGAACCTCAGTGGCAGCTTGTCTGCTCTCCTCTCTTCACCTTGTCACTACACCTTGTCTTTCATCCCGTGGTCTCTCTCTCTCTCTCTCTCTCTCTCTCTCTCTCTCTCTCTCTCTATCTCTCGCTCTCTCTCTCTCTCTTTGTCTGACTGTCAAATCCTCTCTTGTCCTACGTGTCTTCTTAAGTTGTTCAGGAGTGGCGGTCTGCCTTTTATTTAACCTTTCTCTATCAGAGTCACTACTGCCACACACATGCACACTCACTACATGCCCACATAATGGAGAGATCTATTGGAAATGCTAGGATTTTTGTATTCTCTTTTTCTTACTCTTATCTCCTTCTACATTTTGGTCCAAAACAATTGCATTTTCAAGATAATGAAAGTGCTTGAAAACTCACAACACGTTGCAGACTTGAAACAAGTGGTGACATTTTTAAGTTTTAAGGCGTTAATTGGCTCCATAGCACCCGCTAGAAAATAGAAATGAAGTGGCACCTGCAGCTACAATCATGTTGTAGTAGATACACCGGTTAGTACTCATGTTTTATGTGCAAGCCCTCGGTTTGATTTAACCAACCCTTACTAAACATTTTATTCAATTTACCTTAAACTTGGCCATGTATAAATAATATATTGATTAAAAGTTGTTCAAATCTTGAGTTTTCCTTGGGAAAGGGCAGGGCGCTGGCAGCAATTTCAATGTTTGCAACAAAATAAATAGTATTTGTCATATTTTAATGTCAAATATGCCCCAAATTTAACATTTTTGATAGTATTTGTAAGGAAGAAGACAAAAAGTTTGAATTCATCACGTTTCGACCAGTCAATCCGCTGATTTTGCACTGCCCTGCACCAATGTGATGTGCGTGTAACTACCTCCTTTTCCTTTGATAAGATTTGTAACCCAAAGAATTCTGTACCACCAACTAAGGCCAAGCATGGTGGTCACCATATTGGAATTCCTCAACCTAACTTTCGGTCAATCTAGTAACAGGCAAAGATGTGGAGCTAAGGTGGTTCTAACAACTCCTGGGTCCATCTGTCTCCACTTATCAAGTATAGGAATTATGAATAACTCTTTGTAAAGTTGGACATTTTGATATGGGACCCAATGAGGATATCTTCGCTTTTGGAGCCAGCCTCAAGTGGACACTCAAGGTTCTGCAGTTTTTCGCACTTCTGTAATTGGCTTCATTTTTCAACAATGAAGAATGCGGCTTTGCTTACACACATCTCCATATGCCAATTTCCATGTTTGGTCACATTGCCATCTACAGGCAAGTTAGACTTCAAATACATTTGCATTGCGCGGTCTACACTCCCTGTATCTTGAATGCGACATGGACGTTATCTTACACCACATTAAGAAAATAGCAGGCAATATGTAACGCCATTGTGCAAAAGCCTGAACAATTCAATGCCTTATTGACCTTAAATGACCATCAAGGACACGTCACTCCCTGAGTGCTACAAGTGTTGCTTGCAGTTTTTATGTATGTACAAATGTTTATCGGCCTCATCTTCCTCTCTCTCTCTTTCAGACATTTGTCACAGTGTTTATACTTATTGCACCACAAATCAATAAGGAATCCTGCAATGCATCATATTTTCATGGACAGCTTCAGTTCCTGAAGTGCCAAAAGATCTATTGATTCATTTAATGACTGAATGACTTGCAGGATCTGTCTCGTTTCACACAGAGCCGTCTGCTGCTTGTTTCTTCACAGTGATGAGACCCGGGAGGTAATTTATTTCCACAGTAACTGCCTTGCACAACATAAAGGACTGAGAGGAAAATTATTTGGGTGAGCAGTCAGGGATGGAAATGACTGCATTTATTTGTACAGAGGGTATTTAGCAGCAGGACATCAAAAAGAGATACCGGCAGCAATAAGGATGACTCTTTAAAACACACACATATTCACAAACTGTTGTGACCAGCTTCCTCTTTTAGTTGACCTCACCTTGTTGAGCCTGCAGACTACCTATCGATACTTCCCTCCGATCCCATTTATCAATACTCCACACTGCTAAATAACAACTTCTGATTCACATATCGATATCCGACACTGTTGTATCAAATTAGAGCTCTTTTTTCTGTCAATACCAAGGACTGTGTGTACCCAGGACTGTGTGTATTCAATTAGACAAGGGCAGGATCAATGGCGTGCGGCTACTGCAGCCATTCCTGAAGCCTTATCAATGCCAGCCGCCGTCCTGACAAATGATAACTCAGACGGATCAATAGGTTGTGCTGATGGTAACGATGCATCGCCCGGTTGTTACCCCTGGATCAGCACACTGAAACCTTACAAGCCCTCCAGAAATTGTTGAGAACATTTCAGGACAAACTGCACCTGAAATCTTTCTCATAAAGTATGCCAAACACTTTGTGGTTTGCAAATTTATATATGAAATGCTATGAAAAGCTACAAAAAGCTTTGCATATCCATTTCATAAAACACGTGTGTAGAAGAGCAATGTGTCCTTCAAAAACCTTTAAACTTAACCTCTTAACTTCAGACTTTAGACTTTATTGTCCCCATGGGAAATTCCTTCTCACAGCACCATTTCTGTCCAAACATACAATTCCCATCCAAAGAACTGTACATACACAAACACAGAGTCTAAAACAAGCAGAGTTAAACAACAATCAAGAGTTCGCACTCTGACCTGTTCAGTGAGGCCTTTTGTTCAGGGCCGCTATAGAGAACAAACCATATAACGTATTTTTGTAGGCCAACCCGAAAGTAGCATCACCATGGGTCTAACGAGAATTCGCCTATGGGATTTTTGCATTGGATTTTGGATCACTGCAGAAAATAAGCTCTGTGGCAAACGCACGTTTCTGAAGCGTAGGCGTTTTGTTCAGCAGGATAATGATGCGGCTGAAGAAGTAAAAAGCTAACGTTATGCTACAAGCAAACTACACCACAGTTGGATGATTGTGACGTCACTAGCGTTATGCTTCAGACGATCTCTGATAAGCTAATCAGCGTAGCTTGATAAATTGTTTACTAACATAATATTTGCCTTAACCTAAAGATTAAACCTGAGACATCTCCCACTAGTGAGAGAGTTCCCGGCCTCTGTGTCCGGCGTGATGACGTTTAATGTCCTCGACAACCACTGTAGTCACATTTAGCCACTTGTTAGCAACCGCCTTTTTAAAGACGCATAAAAACTTCAAAATTCACAAGTGGGAGTATTACCTAACGTAGTTTATGTGGTCTAACAAAACACCAACATCTCTTAAGCTTGTGTTAATCACAGACCTTATTTCAGGCATCTAACCACAAACCCATTCAAAATCCCCATTGACTTTTAGACGTTAGACCCCATTGCGCTCAAATGCTAATTTACTTCCAGGTTTTAGGACTCATTCCTGTGGCGCTCTATAACAGCAGGGATTAGGCTTTTCCCAAGGCCCTTCTGCACCTCAGTGCTCTGTACCTCCATCCTAATGGAAGTGGGTGAGGTGGGGGTCCAGTGGAACCTAGAAGGTGTTCTATTGAGGTTGCAGTGTGTGCGATGGTCCTGTTGTTGACTTCTGTTAGGCTGTGGGGGTGGAGACCAATTATTCTGGCAGCTGTGATTTTGATGTATATGAGTTTGGTGTTGTGTTTAACAGATATCATGTAAAAGAAGCAGGTGGAACAGTACATAAGGTTAAGTAAGATGGTGTTGTTAAATACTTTGGCACTTATTCAACAGGTCCTGGCAGAGCTCCAGTCCTTATAAGAACAAGACAAACAGGTTACTGATGCGATGAGATGTGTCACACATACAAAAGGACAATGAGATTCATCATAAGGAAATAAACACAAAACAAGAATAGACTGGGAGGAGTTTACTGACAACTCATGAGCCAGCTTTCGATTTTAGATGTTTTGCCGGCTGTGTTTTCAATCTTCACTCGCAGAGAAAATGGCTTCGCAGACGGAGAGGGAGCTCACCTGTCCTGTCTGCCATGAAATGTTTGAAGACCCTGTTGTCCTGTCATGCAGCCACAGCTTCTGTAAAGACTGCCTGAAGAGCTGGTGGAGAGAAAAACAGATATGCGAGTGTCCGATCTGTAAGGAAATCGCTCTATTTAGTGATCCACCACGCAACTTGGCTTTGAAGAACCTATGCGAGACCTTCTTACAGGAGAGAGATCGGGAAGCTCCTGCAGAGTCTGACGCTCTCTGCGGTCTGCACAATGAGAAGTTCAAACTCTACTGTGTGAACCATCAGCTGCCCATGTGCCTCGTCTGTCAGCATTCAGATTCACACGCTGGGCACAAAATGAGAACTATGAGAGAGGTCGCACAGGAGCACAAAGTGGAACTCCGGAAAACCCTGAAACCTGTAAGAGAGAAACTGAAAGTTTTTGAACGAGTCATAGCGAACTGTGACCAAACAGCAGAATACATTAAGGAACAGGCTTTAATCACAGAGCGGCGGATCAAGGAGCAGTTTAAGAAGTTTCACCAGTTTCTACAAGAGGAAGAGGTGGTCAGGATCTCTGCTCTGAGGGAGGAAGAGAAAAAGAAGAGTGAGGTGATGAGGGAGAAGATTGCGGCTCTGAACAGAGAGATAGCAGCTCTGTCAGGCACAATCAGAGCCACAGAGGACGAGCTGAGAGCTGATGATGTTTTGTTCATGAAGAACTACAAGGCTGCAGTGAACAGAGTCCAGCAGCGCCCCCTTCCAGATGATCCAAACCTGGTCTCAGGAGCTCTGATATTCGAGGCCAAACACCTGGGAAACCTGGCTTTCAGAGTCCACACCAAGATGAGGAAGATTGTTTCCGTCTCTTCTGTGATTCTGGATCCCAACTCTGCTCATCCAGAACTCGTCTTGTCTGAAGATCTGCGCACTGTTCAATGCAGAGAGAGACAGAAGCTTCCCAACAACCCAGAGAGGTTTTATTCCTGCCTGTCTGTCCTGGGCTCTGAGGGCTTCAACTCAGGGACTCACAGCTGGCTTGTTGAGGTTGGAAACAGTCCAGTGTGGATTCTGGGTGTAGCAGCAGAATCAGTCAGAAGAAAAGGAGACGTATTCTCAAAGTCTGGGTTCTGGAGAATCCTGTTTTATAAAGATGAATACACAGCATGGTCACCAACAGGACCAGAGACGGGAACAGAAGCTCTCCTCTCAGCGAAGAAACTTTGTAAGATCAAGGTGAAACTGGACTGTGACAGAGGAAAGTTGTCATTTTATAACTCTGAAACAAACACACACATACACACCTTCACACACAGGTTCACTGAGAAAATGTTTCCGTACTTTAACACAAACAGAGAAATTCCACTGTTGATATCTTGAGAGTCGCTGTAAAACCAAAGTGTACAGAAGAAGCCGGCACAATTCTCTTAATGATTAAAATGTGATCAGCATACAATAATTTGGGTTCATATGTGGACAGTTTTTATGGTTCATTCTCTAAATCGTTCTTGGTCTTGAGACCACTTTCTGAAGGTCTCAGTCTTGGAATCGAAAGCATTTTTACCCGGCTTGACTCGGTCTCAGACTGGGCGGACTCTGGATATTAAATCAAGACCGGTCAAGACCACCTCTGATTGGCTTTTTCCAGGTGATTAATAGAAAAACGAATAACTTCAATGAATTCATAATTCAATTTTTATCCCCCGGTCATGGCCACAACCTTCTCGGTGTTACGGCCTAAGTGAGTGACACGCCCCCCTTGCACACAAGATGATGATTCTTCAGATATATTTATGGTCTTGGTCTTGTCTCTGTCTTGCCCTGCCTTGGTCTTTGTCTTGACTCGGGTCTTGATCCCTAAATGTCTCAGAGCACTCTGGGTTCAGGTATGTCTTGCTCTCGGTTAGTTCATTGATTTAAATATAACTGGAAGGACTATTTTCATTATTAACAGATTGATACAGTGACAGCTTATGATTGCAGTGTTTAAATATGTACGTTTAAAACATATGTGGCTCAGTTGAATATTTAAACCTTTGAGTGGGTGTCTGTGTAAGGTTTGGTATGACCTGATGTAAAGGACGATGTTTGTTTGAATGTTTTTTGTTTGGTCTTTTTAACCTGTATTGTTATGTGTTGTGTCTTTTGGAATCACCTCTCTGCACAAGAAATTTACCTTTCTAGCTACTAATTAAGAAACCTTAACCTTCAGCTAAAAAAATGTCACTAGTGAGTGGAAAACCGTGTCTTTGTCACTGGTAGTTTAAAGATTACTTTAAGAGGTTTGATCTGGTTGGGGAGAAGTTATGGGAGTTAATTGGGCTGAGATGAGACAAACAGTGAGTGGAGCCACAGAGTCTTTTGACCTCTCTCTGTCTCTCTCCTTTTCTCTCGATCTTGATGTATAACTTGGGAATATTTTGGATTATTCCATATCTGTTTTTCTGTTTATTTTTGTCTAAATAAACATCTAAACTTTCATGAAGTGGTTCAGTGGATTTGTTTGACGTGAAGAACGGACGAAGGAACTTTAAGAGCGTCAAGCTAAGGCTTCATTACACTCCCTCAACAACCGCCCGATGCCCAGCCTCCACCATCATCCCGACAACCACCGGCGTCATCATTCATGGACGGCCTGCTCCAACCTCCACCTCAGCGGTGAGCAAGTGTGGATAACAGGAACGTGAGGAGAAGATATCCTTCCTGCAAATTATCCCATCTCCCCTTATCCTATTTTTCTTAACAATGAGTAAGGTCTTTTTCCTTCTCTTTTGTAAGGCGTCTCGAAATAACACTTGTTAAGAATTGCCGCTTTACAGATACTGATTGATTGAATATTCTTCACATCTGGTTAGCCTTCTAAAGGTTACACACGGGACATTCTGCATTACATGTTGGTGTGGTCATGCACTTGATGTTTAATTAAATACCTGGAAATGAAACAAACGTGGGCCGAGTGTCTGAATATTGAGCCTTTCCATTTCATCCTGTGTGCAGTGAAGAAGAGTAAATGGCATGAACTCAAAACAGGTGATTGTGTAGTGAATCTTTGTCCTCGTCGTCTTGGCTGCTTGTTCCTGTCAGGATGCATTATGGGAAGCATGCTGGCTGTCAAAGGTGACGACGGTCTGCAGAGAGCTTCAGGTTCAGTCTGCCGGCAGCTCGGGAGATTTCACCTGCTGCTGTAATCACTATCGACATCAACAGCAGCTCCCTCTGACCTGCTGAGCTCCTGAGTGGGTAAATGGGACAGCTCCAACCAATCACAGTGCTGCTTCTCCCCGGGGGCATCGCAGGAAAAATTTGAAGGGTTGTTGAGATGATTTACAGCATCAGATAAAGAAACATTTTTACCATACAAATGCCTTTTCATCTCTATTTCTTTTCATGTTTTTTCCCCTGCCGTTGCTTCTTTCTTGTTAATTGCACAAAATAATGATGATGGTGGGTTTCTTTACCATTTGACCATTTGAAGACCTCTATCTTTTTCTATTGTATTTCTAGCTCACTCAAATATAGCTCGTAACAGAAGAACCCAATTGCCAAAACTGTGACGTGATGCTCATGAGTGTTGTGCTAAAACAAACGGCTTTCAAATGAAGTTCAGACATAAAATGAATAGCAGTCTTTGAGTAGCATTTACTAGGAGATGGTCCATGTTACAGATAGGGAAATCCCAACATACTTTTAACATGAAGTCATCTACATTCATGTTAAATGTCAGACCTGCGGGGCCAAATACTGTCAGCAAGTGAGGTTTAAGTTTGTGGCGTAAAACATCAACCTTGATCCAGTGCAGTCAAAACTGATTGATTTAAAAATGTTTCAGAAACCAGAAGCAGCAAAATGAAGCAATATTTACATCCAGATGAACATAGCCTCGATCTCACAACCCAGTGGCAACAGTCCAATAACTATTTAGCCTATAACACATCCATGACACCACATAGCTTGCTTTTGAGACTGACAACATTGGATAAAAGCCTCTAATTTTGAATTGTACTCACTTTAAAAGTCCAATCATTAAGATATCTACAGACTGAGATGATTAAGGTACCTTACTATATGATCAGCCATTAAGGAAACATGCTATGTTGAAGTGTTGGCTTCTCTGACAACAATGCAGCAGCCAGTATGTCCTCCTTCTAACTTTAGATTCTGGTCCTGAACGCTCTGGATTTGTTTGGACCAGAGAAGGTAGGTGCTTTTAAGGCGACCCCCCACACGTCCGTTTTGGATGCCCCTCAGTTTGCCAGATATGAGAGCAGTTATCAGGTCAAACCAACAGGTGTTGCAGCGATGGAAGCGGGCATGAGAACTGGTTCAGATAGAAGTGATTGTACCCGACCTAAAAAGCCTCTGCATGTTTCTAATAAGCTCCACGAGCAGAAACGTGCTAAAACTAGGATCAATATTGGAGATGCTTTTGAAAAATAGAGAGAGGTTAAAACACAGAAAGGTTTACAGACCGATGCAGAGCTGGCAAATGCACAAGATGTCAGCGACCCTCGAGGGGGGTATTTCAGCTTCGCTTTTTCAACTGGAGGAGGTGGATATGTGTTATCTATTTTCATATACAGTCGATGCCTGAACCCTGCAGAGTCTGTTATATCAGTTAATTTACTTGGACCATGTGTAGGTAAGGATTGATCTGCAGTGAAATGTTCAGCCGAGCTAAGATAATGTTCAAGTCACCACTTCACGTGTTTACAAGTCTGCTAGAAGTGTTCGACATGAACGTGCATGTAAGCCTCTCTCTTTTTTATCTGTGAAGTGCTATAGCCTTCGGGGCGTGTGTGTGTGTGTGTGTGTGTGTGTGTGTGTGTGTGTGTGTGTGTGTGTGTGTGTGTGTGGTAAACAGATCCTGACAGCACTAGCACTCTCTGTAATAGGAACACGCAGACACACAGCAGTGAAGTGGAAACAGGGAACCTTTTTATTCATTTTGCACTCAGCTTCACATCGCGATGCGTTCAAAGACCACCTGTTAGGAGTCAACATGGGCGGAGGTCTGAGAAGAGCTGAAGCTAGGTGAGAGGGTACGAGACAGGTTGCAAGGAGCTTAATCCACAGCTTGACTTTATGTGCCTTTCTTTTAGCTGACAGTCAAATAAACATTTTTTAGAATAATCTGAAGATTTACAGTTTAAAGTTTAATTTGATGTTTGTGTGAAACATTTTAAGTTATTGCTGTAAAGAACTTCATACGAGAAATTGTAGATAGATGTTGGGACATATTCATAGGGTGGGTTTAGACCCCGCAGAAAACAATGATTTTTTTAGGACAGTATTTACAAATGTTTATTTTGTCTTTTATCTGAAGTTTTTACAACATATTTTTCTCCACATTCTACTAATGTGAACTAGAGCACAATTTTCAAAGGTATTTTGACTGAAAAATATTTCATTTTTTTAATTTAAAGGTTGTAATGGTTCTTTATATATACTGTATAATTTTTGCTGCATGTATGAGATTGCACACTGTGTAGATTACACACTGTGTGTGTTTTTTAATAAAAACTGTTCTGTTTTTCCACAAGTGAAAATGTTTATAGTATATGTCTAGTATTATTTTATCTCTATTGTGAGTCCTTGCATTATTTAATAAATGTAAATATATATATTTTTGCTATTTTTACTAATTATACTAATGTTTTTGAGCTGTTGTAACAAAGAAATTTCTCCCAATGGCGGATCAATAAAGTTTATCTTTATCTTGATTATTTATAACATCATGGTGATGAACGAAGGTTGGAGGGGTGTCCTGTGAATTTTTGCCCAGGTTGGCACTAGACTAGAATCACCACTTCTTATAGTTAGGGTGCATTCACACCTGAGCCGTTTGGTCCGTTTGAAATCTCTGGTGCGCTTTGTCGGATAGTGCATTTGGTTTGGGGTGATGTGAACGCTCAAACGAACTCTGATGCTTACAAAAGAACCGAACTGCTGTTTGTTAAAAACCAGAGTTCGGTTCGCTGTATAGATGAGAACGCATTCTGGACCAAACGAGGGAAGTGAACCGAAATGCAGTGCATTGTGGGTTGAATTTGGCCATCTGTAAATGATGTAAAATAGGTTTTTCTGAGCGTGGTTAACGTTAGCATTGCTAAGAACACCAGCCTTCAGTTCTCCTTACAGGTTAGCGTGCTGATGCCTGTCCTGGTTAAACTGGCAAATCGACCGGAGCGATGTATGGTTACACATGCGGTTGGGGACCAAACGGCACACTTTTTCTTTTAATAAAACAAATTGATTGAAACTTGTAAAAAATGAGATTTTTCATGAAGCAGTAGTTGGTGGGTCCTGTGGCCACTGTTGTAAAAGTTACTGTGTGTCATGAGAATGAGCATTCAGGCAAACTTACAGCTTCAAATATACATTAAATCCAAGCTAGCAGCCTTTTTATGCTTCTCCACATATCTGATAAATGAACTCTTGTTTTCAGAAGTTATATTAGAGCCAGAGCTTTATTTTATGAAGCAGGTTTCAGCCTTTAGAGCGTCAAAGTTTTAGTCGACTTGTAAAAAATGAGATTTTTCATGAAGCAGTAGTTGGTGGGTCCTGTGGCCACTGTTGTAAAAGTTACTGTGTGTCATGAGAATGAGCATTCAGGCAAACTTACAGCTTCAAATATACATTAAATCCAAGCTAGCAGCCTTTTTATGCTTCTCCACATATCTGATAAATGAACTCTTGTTTTCAGAAGTTATATTAGAGCCAGAGCTTTATTTTATGAAGCAGGTTTCAGCCTTTAGAGCGTCAAAGTTTTAGTCGTGGAAGATCTGTGGAAGAGAAAATTGAGCTAAGAAAAAAAAAACAGACTTGAATAGCAGTTTGAGTGAGCGGAGCTGATTCAGGGAGGAGGAGTGCCTCTGAGAGAATTTACACAGAGATGGGAAAAAAAAATAATGCATCAGTAAGATGATGAAAGGATTGAGCAGGTAACCAAAAACAACACAATGCAACTTCTGACAAAGGACGCCATTGAGGGTTGAGCAACAGTGAGGAAAACGTTACATTAGGCCCTCTTATCCTATCATTTGCATCATTCCCTTTATGCTCGTATAACAGGAGCCTGAAGGAGACACTTCACAGTCCAGATGAAGAATCACGCTGACATGTAAAACATTTATCAATCTCCATGGTAATAGACACAACCATCTATATGACATGGCTTTGGGGGAAACAAAGATTTACAGATATAAAAGTTATTATTGTGTCATCAAACAAAATTTAGATTTTTCTTGAAGTTGAGATATTACCATGAAGAGAGGTAGCGACACTGAGCAGATGGTCCAAACCTTTATCCGTTTTTGAACCTTAAACTGAGGGTATGTATGAGGAATGACTTGTTTATAGAGCCAGCCTCAAGTGGCCAATATGGGAACTGAATTGGCAAGTTGGTTTCAGGTTGCTTTTTTCGAGAAAGGCTACAGGGGTGCATCCAAATTGGTGGCCATGGGTGGCATGTGCCAACGTCATGCCACTCCTGCAAAAGTCAGTGCCCCAGGTGGGCCTCCCTAGTTAAAAAAAAGTTGTTTTAAAGTCAATACCATGGATAATACTTTTTTTTTTTTGCATCGCTGCATGGTATGGAAGCCTGAACTTGTCAAACAAAGAACAGACTTGGGAGAATTTCAGGGAGGTGTCAGGTTGTGCTTTTGACCTTCTATAAT